CGTTTCCTCTCCTTCTTCTTCTCGCGCCTGGAGCGGAACCGGAGCGGCCGCCACGAGGGCGCGTTCCCGTGGCTGTCGCGCTGCGGCCGCGAGCGGAATTTCCTGCGCTGCGAGGACGTTCCGGTTGTTTTCACCGCGCTGCTCTCGGCTCCGGACGGAGCTCCGCTGCTCAGTTACAGCGGCTGCGGCCTCACGGTGCCGTTCCGGCCCTCCCGGCTGGCGCTGCTGCCGCACAACGGGCGGCTCTACCACCCGGGCCCGGAGCGCGCCGGCGGCGTGGGGCTGGTGAGGTCCGCGCTGGCCCAGGAGTGGAGCTCCGAGTTTGAGTTTGGGGAGGGGATGGAGCGGCCTCCGACTCATTTCTGGTGGGGCGGGGAAAGGATCCGGCTGAGTGCGGAGTGGGTGGGGCTTGTGAGGGGAGTGGGCGGGGCTGAGCCAGGAGTGGGTGGACCGTGTGAGGAGAGTGGGCGGGGCTGAGCCAGGAATGGGCGGGGCTTGTGAGGAGAGTGGGCGGGGCTGAGTGTGGAAATGGGCGGGGATTGGAGGCCGCGCCCTAAAAGGGTTCCCGATCCCGCGTGGGATAAAGGCGAGATGGAATAAACGTGGAATTATTGCCATCGATCCCACGGAATCTGAGACCCCATTGCACCCCAATATCCCCAAATTCCAAAATCCCAAAATGGGCATTCCCATAACCCCATTCCCATCCCAAAATCCCAAAATTCCAGAGCGTTCCCATGTCAACCGAACCCCAAAATCCCACAATTCCAGGGTATTTCCATGACCCCATTTCCACCCCAAAAATCTCTAAGTCCCAAAAATCGCAAAATTCCAGGATGGGCGATCCCATGACCTCATTCCCACCCCAAAATCCCAAATATCCCAGAATTCCAGGGAGCTCCGAGTTTGAGTTCCAGGAGGGGATGGAGCGGCCCCGACTCATTTCTGGTGGGGCGGGGAAAGGATCCGGCTGAGCGCGGAGTGGGCGGGGCTTGTGAGGGGAGTGGGCGGGGCTGAGTGTGGAAATGGGCGGGGCTGAGCGCGGAGTGGGTGGACCGTGTGAGGAGAGTGGGCGGGGCTGAGCCAGGAATGGGCGGGGCTTGCGATGGTAGTGGGCGGGGCTGAGTGTGGAAATGGGCGTGGCTTGTGAGCTAAATGGGCGGGGCTGAGTGTGGAAGTGGGCGGGGATTGGAGGCCGCGCCCTAAAAGGGTTCCCGATCCCGCGTGGGATAAAGGCGAGATAGAATAAACGTGGAATTACTGCCATCGATCCTATGGAATCTGAGACCCCATCCCCACCCCAAAATCCCAAATTCCAAAGTTCCAAAATCCCAAAGTTCCAGGGTGTTCCCATAACCCCATTCCCATCCCAAAATTCCAGGGCGTTCCCATGTCAACCAAACCCCAAAATCCCGCCGTTCCAGAGTGTTTCCATGACCCCATTCCCACCCCAAAAATCTCAAAATCCCAAAAATCCCAAATTCCAGGATGGGTATGCCCCTAACCCCATTGCCACCCCAAAATCCCAAATCCCAAAAATCCCAAAATACCAGTACCAGCGTTCCCTCGAGCCCATTCCCACCATCAGTGCCATGGAATCTGAGACCCCATTCCCACCCCAAAAATCCCAAAATCCCCAAATTCCAGGATGGGCATTCCCAGGACCCCATTGCAACTCAAAATCCCGCAATCCCCAAAATCCCAAAATTCCAGGGGGCGTTCTCACGACCCCATTCTCATCCCAAAATCCACAAATTCCAGAGCATTCCCATGTCAACCGAACCCCAAAATCCCACAATTCCAGAGTGTTTCCATGACCCCATTCCCACCCCAAAATCCCCAAATCCCAAAACCCCCGAAATTCTAGTACAGGAATTCCCTTGAGCCCATTCCCACCATCAGTCCCATAGAATCTGAGACCCCATTCCCACCCCAAAATCCCGAAATCCCAAAAATCCCAAAATGGGCGTTCTCACGACCCCATTCCCATCCCAAAATCCCAAAAATCCCAAAATCCCAGGGAGCTGTCCCCGAGCGGCCCC